TATATATTTTTTCTGCTGTAGAACAATCCAAACAGTTTCAGCCACGTCAAAACATGGTACATCATAAAGTCATAATTTCGTATCTGATTGGCTGCTTATTACGATTTCTGGTCCATAATGCTACGTCTCTTACGAAAGCTGACTTGGGAGTCAACTTTCGTAAGAGACGTAACAAGGCAACTCAAGTGTGATCACTCACAGGGTTGCCAGATAGTCGACAGGCTTCACAGCCAAACACACGCCATCTCACGGCCAAATTCGGCCAAAATTTTTTTCAATATCGGCCAAATTCATTCATTTGAAATACTACAAAAATTATACGAAAATCAGCGCTCATTCGTTTGAAATTGAAGAAATTCAAATGATATACACAGAACAATGTTAAAAATAAATAGCCTATGTTCTTTAGTTGCTGACATGCAGGTCAATTTTGGGGCAAATCCAGAGATGTCCGAAAGGGGAAGGCCGGGGCCGAAAAAGGGGAAGGGGGGCGAAAGTGGGTCCGATCGAGATAACACCATCTTAGTGGAAATTTGTCTTTTCTTGACACCCGAAAATAACCTGATGCATTGGGCGATCAATTTTAAAAAAAAATTTTTTTAAATTTTTACCACCCCTCCCCCTTAAATCCACCTCTGCTATTTAAAATCACAATATTAAGATTGATCTAAATTTGATTTAAATGAATTAAATATTAATGTACATCGTAATCGATCTATAGCAACAATTTTAAGGGCATGTTATTGGCAAATCCATGGCTCTCTTTAATTAGAATGAATTAAGTTATATAGTTAGGTAACACTGGCGTTAAAACAAACCTATGAAAATGTTTTTTTTATTTTTTTATCTAAACTTTCGAAATTCGCCTCTGAATATTATTGTCGCAGTACTTTAAGCAAATGTTGCTATAGTATCAGAATTATCTTCTTCATTCTCATATGCAACCTAACTAAGGAGTTTCTTCGAAGAAGTCTCTGCAAAACTTGCTTGAAATTGGAGGTGCCATCGGACCCGAATGATCACATCGAGCATTTATATATGGCGCTCTACATAAAGAACACTGCGACACCTTGGGCTATACAATTCAAGTGGGCAATAATAAATTAATTAAAGTACTGTATTTAATTTATATTCAAAAGAAATTCAAAAGAGATAGAACCTCCAATAGTAAGATGGAACATATACAAAGACACACAATATGGTACAAACAATGAACTGTCTTCATAAAGCTTAAACGAGGATAAACCTTATCAATATATTTCATCCGAACCATTTAAATTATTAAATGTAACTGTTATCTTTTAAATAAACTCTCTTACGTCAAATCGGCTGAATCGGAGAATAGATTAAGTGTTTAGTGCAAGTACAAACAAAGGTACACGATTAGAATCAAATATAGAATTTAAGCTAACAAAAACAAAATATCCAAAACAAGTCTACGTTATATTAGACCTATATTGAAAAAAATGTAAACTTTTCAAAAATTCGGCCAAATATAGTTTGGCCATGACTTTCCAAATGCTACGGCCAGGCAAATTTTTATACGGCCAGATTTGAGGAATCTGGCTGTCAAAAAGGCCAAATGGCAACCCTGATCACTCAAGCATAAGTCACTGAATCGCGGTTTCCTGTCAAATCATGGAAAATCGACGTATCGCATGAAAATTCAATACGACGGTTTCCTGTCGAACACTGTTTTGCGATGATTTAATTTACGTTACGTCGATTTGACAACGCACCAGTCGCAATCGGTTTCCTGTCAGATCGCATATTGTTACGTTAAAATGACGTAGTGGCAAGTAAATCTGCCTTCTTACGTCGACAGGAAACCAGGCTTTAAGGACAATGTTCATATCTGCATATGTCTGTTATGTTGTAGTTGTAGTTAAATTGGGTGGTGCTGCACTGTGGCTGCCGCAGGTCCCTAAGGGCCCAGGTCGACTTTCTGATTTCCTATAAGAATGAGGACTAATAAAGAATTATTATTATTATATTTACAGTAATGTTGGAAAAAAAACAAAACAACCTTGTATTTATAACTAAAAATTAATTTTTGTGACGAGTGACTGGTTTGGCTTGTCTTTGCCAACTATAATGGTCTATAAAATGACTACTTATATTCCGTCACCATTTAAAATTCTAAAAAGAAAAAAAAATAAAACCCAAGACCAAGAAGTTTCACCAGTATAGTTATAGTCTATTCTAGACACAGCATTTATAAAATGCAGTTTTCAGAACAAAATGAACAGAATTGGAACAAAACAACCCCACCCTCTACTAGAAGTGGTAAAGAAACAGTCCATTATCATCAACAATTTCACCATCATATGTTTCTATTATCAATCACTATAATAGGCGAGTTGAATGGCCGAGTAAGGCGACTTGAATGGCCGAGCGTTTAAGGCAGGGGCACCACAACCTACAGCCATAATATCGGCGCTGGTTCGAATAGCACGCTCATCTATGGTTCTGGAGGTGGAAAAAGTCTTCTCGGAAAAGGACTATAAACCGTAGGCCTAGTGTACACCTTTGGCTCTTATGCACTATAAAGAACCCAGTACATCTTTCGAGATGAGTAGGGGTTACGCCAGTGTACTAGTCAATCTCACAACCCCTGCCACTGTGGACTAGATGGCGCGTCATCTTGGCCTGTGCATGACGTAAGTTGTACGAATGAGTAGTTCACATCTGTCGGGCCGAAGCCTTTAACTCTGAAGTTGGCTCTCCACCCAGGAAGAAGGAGGAAGAAGAAAAATAGTATCACCAAGAGATCATAATAACTACTACCATCAACACACGACCATCATTACGCAGGATCAGGCGCGGATCCAGACCTTTGCCCAGGTGAAAGTCAGGGTGAGAAATAAAAATAAAATGTTAACCATTTTTCCAACAATCATACTTACTTTCATTGACTTATTTTGAACATTACCATTAGGACATTGTTTAAACCCACACTAGCCTATATCTTACACTTTTACACTGATTATATGGTAGGCCCTACTAGAGAGGTGCATTCCCATTACAATATGGTCTTCCATTTCTATAGCGCATAATACAGTGCATGACAAACGTTACGTAACCACCACTAATTCGGAGTAGCTCAGCTCCGTCGTACGTGTCTATCTTGGCATTGACACTGTGTATTTTTAGCATTGTTTTAAAGTAATAACTTATCAAATATTCACATGAACAACAAAACGAATGAACATATATTTGGATTAACTATTGTTTTCAGCAAAATTGGTTGGCAGTGACGTGAAAATTTCAGTATTTTATACCTCTGGAGGACCGGAAATGGAACTTAAATTAACTTTTAATTTCCTTTTATTTCTGACGAATTAAGTTAAAAAAACTCCGAATGAATTAAATAGCCTACATGAAAATGGCACTTTAATACTTGGTGAGTAAATTTTAAGAATTTTATAGATACTCAAAAACGGCCCTTGGTTACATAAAATTTATGAAAACTACAAATCTATTATACGCCTACCATGGTTGAGGCAAGACCTTGTAAGAAATTATGAGGCTTTTAGATGCCATAAAATGGCACTTTATTAGGTAGAAACTACAAAAATTACTATATCCACCTGAGCCCCATCATGGATAAGGCTGAGTTGAGGAAATTTTAAGAATTGGTGAGTTTTAGATGCTAGAAAATAGCACTTTGATACATAAAAACTAGTGACAATACTACCATATGAGCACCATCATGGTTGAGGCTGAGGTGAGAAAATGTTGAGAATTGAGGACTTTTAGATGCCGGGAATAGCACATTAATACCTAAAATTTATGTCGTTTATTTTTTTAACATTTAAAAAGGGGCACTTATTATTTTTTTTCCAACCTCTAAGGACCCCCCACCCCACCAACTGAGATACGCCACTGCATCAATATCTTCCTTGTCTCTCTCTCTCTCTTTATCGGGCACACCTGGTTAATGATGAGTGAAGTTATAACTTTTTTCAAAAGTTGTGGAATGTACTGCCGCTATGTGTTTAGATCCTTCTGTAATTACGCTCGATGACGGGACTGTCCTCGATTCCTTTTCCCATGGGTTGGTTTCCAAATGAGAACCCTTGAAATAACATCATTTTTACTTCTGTAGCAATGTCCAGCAAATGCTAACCTTTGTGCCCTAAAAGTTCTTGATACAGGGGTATATCTCCATACAGGTCTTTATTTGTAATATGTTGTTTATAGTTGATATTCAAGGTGTGTCTGAGTACTGTAATCTTGATAACAACCATCAAGGCCTCTCTCTCAAAAATATGTTCTATCTTTTTTCGAATTAAATAGGCAATATTTGTTTTAAAACCCTAGGTCACCTGAGTATTAGAGGATTCAGCCATGTACTGGTGGATTCAAGGGAAACCAGTCAGCCCGGGCCCTGGTAAATATTTCAAAATTATTTTAAAAGAATGGAGAAAAAACTGAAAATTATATTCAAAATCCTGAGAGTGCCTTTCAGGTCATCTAAAGGCGACATCTTAATTTTTCTTACCTCGGCCCCAACCATGGTGGGGCTGAGGTCTCTATCTGTGAAGGTCCCTCAATGGGCACCCTCTATTTCAAATTTCTGGTTCCACCACTGCAAGGCCCACCCATCTGAGAAAAGGTCAGAGAAAAAAATAGATCCGTGCCTGCAGGATAGAAGATTAATAAAGTTTTGAGTATAACATCATTCTACAGATGTGACCAAAAAACATCATAGATGTTATCAGAAAACATGTGACCAGAGGATATCACAGATTTGACAAAAGAATTGCTTAGATGTGACCAGAGAGCATCTTAGATGTCACCAGAAAACATCTTATACAGGATGTCACCAGAAAACATCTTATACAGTATGTCATCAGAAGACATCTTAATTGTCCTCAGAGAACATCACAGATGTCACCAGAAGTCATCTTAGATGTCACCAGGGCAATCCAAATGTCACCAGAGGACAAATTACTTGTTAACATAGGAAAGGACATCAAACGTGTTCAAGGTTTTAGTTAGAAAGTGTTCACAAACAAAATAATAAAACCAACAGAGAATTTAAAACAGAAGGGCAAGTAAACAAAGAAGCCTTTGTGAGTAATGTTACAAACCATTTGTTGTTTAGGTTTCGCAGCTTTCCCGTTTGCCTCATCCTGTTGGTGGTAGAAAAATGTCCAATTGTTGTCAATCATGTCTATCATGTGACATTTGGAAGTTAAAATGTCATGAGAATGTCACATATCACAATGGTTAACAAGATTTTTGTGTTTTTTGCACAATTATTTTTTTTTTTGAGTTTTACTTATTTTCTTTGCCATGCCTTCAAACAATAACTTATTGTTGATAACTTATGCTTTACATTAAATGCGATGACAGAATAATTATCAATCATGCGTAGATAAAATAATGGACTCAACTATTTCCTTTCACTGAAATGTATAACAAACCAAAATAATGGTCTTGAAATTCAGAAATTACAAACATGGATACCAATGCAATATATTTTTAAAATATTCTACATATTTTGGTTGTTATTTTATCACAAATTTATTATAAACATTTAAAAGTAAAAACAAGACTTAAAAACCAATGTCAAAATTTCATTGCAACTATGCAACATAATTTACAATAATTATTATATATTTTCATTAAAATTTGAAGGAGTACTGTACCTGTAAAATATTTCAATATTTCCTGTCTTATATAGCATATAAATTTAACAATTATTAAATATATTGTTTGTTATGTAAAATTTAGGACACTGTAAAAAATAGTATAAATATAAAAAAACTCTCACCTCTTCCTGTTGCTTCCGAATCTGATATTCCAAGCGGATTCGTTCACGTCTTGCCTTCTCTTCAGCTTTCTTCATCTCAATATCTTCCTGTTTCCTCCTATAGTTGCAAAATTGAGATACAATTAGTCTTTGTAAATTTTAACATAATTATAATACAAAAAAAAATATTATTACAATTTTATTCTGCTTGATATAAAGCATACCTTTGTTCTTCCCTTTGCTTCTCTCTCAATGCCTCTCTCTTTGCTTGCTTTACCTTTTCTAATTCCTGTCTTTTTAAGCGGCTCTTAAGAAATTGGTCTCTCTTCTTAGCAATATCATCCACAGCTACCTATAATAGTTGAGCAGTTAAATGATTATAAGTTACTAAATAATAATTTATATAGTACATAATGTACCGTAACTCGCAACATCACTGTGGTGACGCAAGAATGGGAGTTGTACATGACTACTGTAGAAGTACTAGTAGTAAAGGTATATAGTGTATAACACATTACCGAAAAATATATACAAACATGCAGATAACATTAAAAATAAATAGTGATTAATAAACAACATACCTTTTCTTCATCTATAACAAACCCAGTTGATCTGTTATGTGAAACATTTGCCTCTTGATCCTCTGCATCATCTAGAACAGATGTACTCTTTTCTGATTGGTCCTTCGTTGGCACCTCGTGTACCGCATTAACAGGCTCTTGTGTTAGCTCAACTGGTTTTACTGGTGCTTTCCTTACTTCCACTGGTGGGGTCTTTGAAGATTTTGCCGACTTTTTCTCTTTATGTACTTGTTCGACAATTGTGATTTCATTATCGCTACTATCAAGATTAACTGAGAATCGTTTAGGCCGTGCCCGAACCTTGTCTTTGAATTCCCCATCCTCATTACCGATTTCAAATTTAGCAAAGCGTTTCTTTTCAACCAAGCCTTCGATTCTGTGCTCGGCCGGATCTTCAGTTTGAGTAACTTTAGGTTCATTATCTTCAATAGCTCTATTTTCTATAACAGGTTGCGGAACGACATCTGCGACTACCTCACTTGATGCATGTTTACTTACCCTCTCGACATTAGCATTATAATGATGAAAATCGGAGTCCTTAAATTGTGGAACGTTGCCTTGCACTTGATCTGACAGCCCATATATGGAATCGTATGGAATTTTATTATCACTGATTTTTCTACTTGTATCAGGTACTTGGTAATTTATATTTTGAGTGAAAGCATCATCTTTGGATGTGTGACTATTATCTTCAACATTAGCAACATTTAATGTGGGTGGTTGGGAATGAAGTATAAATGAACAGCCATCATTTTTATCTTCAGATGTTTCATGACACTGATTCTTTTCTAATTGAGGGCTAGATCTATCCTCTTTGCCCAAGTAAAAGCCTTGAGGTTCACTAGATTGAGGTGGGCCCTGAAGATAAAAACCATTTGAATTTTTATCTGTCTCTATTGTCTTTTCAACTGGTCCAGAATTTTGTAAGAAAAATCCACCAGAGGGAGAGCTTGTTTTTGTTTCTGAAATTTGGTTTGACTCTTGGTTTGCACTTTGAGGTTCAGATCCAATATTGTGAATGATCCGCTCGTGTTGTTGAGATAATCGAGTTATTTCATTCTGCAATTGCGAAAGATTAGCATTCATCTTCTCAATTGAATTATTATATTCGTCGGTTGTGAGATGTGGCGAATGCGTTCCAGAATGTACTCCCGACACAGACCCTATTGATGGTATAACTCCCACTGTGGGTGCACTGCCTCCTGTTGGGACAGTATGAGGGAAACTTGAGACATTTCTTAATAGTTCATCTTTAACTTTGTTTTGATTTTGTTTAGCTGACCCAAGGTCTGCAAATGTTATTTTACTTGGTTCCACATGACTCGTGAAATCACCTTGCAACTGATGCTGATGTTCATGGCAAGCATCGCCAAGTTCATTATTTTCATTCCTAATTATTTGCATGAAAGCTGCCTTTCCTACACGTTGCCTTTGTTTATTGAAATTGCGTTCCATCTTCCGCTTCTCGCGGTCAATGTTACGACGTTTTTCTTCGAGTTTCAAACGTAGCTGGAGCATCTCTGAAGCAGAGGGTTCCCAAGAATTGTCCGTCTTGTTACCTGCATCGATAGAGGGTACAGAGTCAGATTCATGCTTTACTTTTTTAATCCATGTAGTCATGCCATGCGATTCACCATTTACAACATTTACATCACTTGATACAACATCTACATGCATGGGGTCAAGTCTTTCATCAACATCTGGATGTGAGAACACATCATAATTTATAGACTCATGCCTATCAATTTGGTCAGCTGACTGTGACACTAGTGGCGCAAATGAGGTGGTTACCTCATTGGCAGCCAGAGTTTCTTTGGTTAACATTTCAGATTGAAGTTTGAAAGACTCTTTATCAGAATGGGAGTATGACACATGATCACCAGCACTATAGATATCCATACCTGTACTTTGGCCATAGCCTTGGTTCTGTAACTTCCCTCCATGATAATGGAATGATTGATTGGGTTTTGAAAGTTCAGTGTGTATGCTTGAATTGGGACTATGTGTGATTAAAGGTTCCATCCCATGTGACGATGTTTGGTAGCGATCAAAAGCTTGCAACTGCTGAGGGTCTGAAGACTGGCGTGCATGGACGACAGTCAACGTACTCGGCATCCCCATCCACTCATGTGATCTTCTAGTTTGAGATGGCATGTACTCATGTTGCAACGTTGACATCTCTACTGGTTGGACATTGTATACTCTACTACTAACAGTGAGACTATCCCCAACACCATGTCTCTTATACCCACTATCTACAACCTGACCAGTCCCTATTTGTTCATCTGTGTTAATATAAAAAGCTTCGCCGCCCCTCGCTTTAGCCATGTTAGGCTCTCCAGCGTTCCATTGCTGTCTAGGTGACTCAAAAACCCTTCGCTGCTCACTTGCATGACTTGGTGCACTGGTCAAAGAACCTGTGCTCATTCCACTGAGAGGAGTAACTGCACCAAAACTGTCCGGTGTACCAGAAGTTCCCCGGCTTTGACCCCATGATGTCATTACGCGACTGGAGTCATTACTACTCGTACTACGAGGACTGTGACTGGAAGACGTTTCACCATATTCATGATCTTTATTTACATAGTTCACTTTTTCTTTTAAGGGTCGGACATTTGCTGGCATAATTCCATCAGTATATACAGCTTGTCTTGGCAGTTTCATATCAACCGGCTGGACAACCAGACTTAGATTACTCCGTTGGTCTTGTCCACCACACATAGAATTGTCCTGACCGTGAGAAGAAGTCCTACTTTCTTTTGAGGATGTCTGGGGATAAACAAAGCGTTGTCGAACATTTCCTTTGTCTCTATCATGTACTCTAAAAGTTTCCTTCCGTATAACATTCGCAGAGCTGGGAACCAATGGATGTACTGGTGGTTGTCTGTCAACACGGAATGTAGAGTTCCTGGTTACAGTAGCCTTTCTACTCTCTTCATTCATCATTGTTACATATGTGTTTTCATCTTGCCTGAAATATTCCGGACCACCGGTTGATTTACTAGCCAAGCTCTGTCCGCTTTTATTCATAACGTCAACGCCACTGTCCTTTTGGTACAAGGACCCCTGGGATGAGCTCTTGGGAGAGGTTAAGCTTTGGATCTCCAGATCAGCTTCATCCAATGGATCCTGTATGTTAGCTGTCACTTGAGGAGCACCTTGGCTGCTTGTCATCCTATAGGTCAGCTGGTTATCCTGAGTTTGTTCACCGTCATCTAGGTCGCTATCTATGCTAACATTGGCAAGTAAACTCCCACTGTTGTGGCTTGCAATTTGTACTCGATTCAATGGTGTACTGTAATAGAGAAAATTAATAAATTCATAAAAAAATTTAAAAACACTAATTAAGATTGATAAAAGAACAAGACTGATGTCAGATTAATCAATTATATGGAAACAGTAAAAATAGTAGGTGTACATGATATATGATAGTATAATACAAACTCCAAGTATCAAAATGCACGCCTTCGTGTCGGGATGCATTATTTTAACATTAATTATGTCATCATTCCTGATGATGACATAATTAATTTTGAAATATTGAATCCCGACATGATGGCGTGCATTTCGATACTTGGAGTATGTACAGTATTATACTATCTTATCTGAGATTAATCAGTGGACCTTTCGGTATATGATATATATATTTATAAATTAATTTTCTTTGACTAAAACCAATTATTGGAACACAAGCTTCCACAAGATCTAGGTACACATTGGATTGTCATGCACATGTCAGTATGTTGACATTTTTCTAGAGCTAGGGAAAGCTAAATTAAAGTTCCTTGAGGTTGTTTATGCAATGCACTATAATAATTCCCTAAATAAATAATAAATAAAATCTTACAGCAATTGGTTCTTGTCCTGCCATGCTAGCATAGACTGCTTAATGGTGATGTCATCGACTTTATGGTGGTCTAGGATATCATCATGTGAGCCATACTGTTGGTGATGTCGTTTGGGTAACAGCGGTTCTCTTGATCTAAAACAAAATAAATATTAAACTTTAATATGTTGATTTCTAATGGATTAAGATGCAGACAAAATTACTGAGAAAATACTATGTTGTTGTAATAATAGCTGTTCACATTCAGACCCCACAGGAAGCTTATCTCTTCAATAATACTTCAGATCTCGAAGAGTATTCCAATTCATAAGCATGTATCAAAGTCGCCAACCTATAGGGCTCATGGTAACTGCCAAAAGTCTGTTGGATCATGATTTTTTTCCCCTTCACTCTTGATTATGTTTTTGCATGTACTTGCACAGTGGTGGAGATTAGCCTGTACGCGACTACCCCAACAGTGGAACAGTGGGAACTTATGCCGTCCATTGTACAGGCTAAGCCCCAGTGCTGTCCATAACAGAAGAGATTTTTAAAAATACATTTTTTAGGCATATGCTCTAAAACATCTCAGTCTGGCTTAAAATGGCCCAAAAATTTCAAATTTTCCAAGGCATATGTTCTGGTCCCACACCAGGGCTTCACTGCTGGATCTTACCTGTTCGGCTGATACACCTGATCTCAAAAACTATGGTTAATTTATAGGTTATTTGTGGCAAAAATACAGTTAAAGTTGTACTGTCCCTTCTCACAAAAAAAAAAAATATATGTTTACAAAATTATACTTTGAATTGGCCATTTTGATGCTTTAGGAAAGTTATTCGCTTTTGATCCAAAAATCGAACGAAAATCAATCAGTTTCGTTAATTAACAGATAAACTAGTTCGAAAAATTCTCATGACTGTTGTATCGCGACTGTTGGAAGAAAGCAAATTTAAATTCACTTCACTAATTATGTATATGTATCAGGGGTTGTTATGGAGATATATAAGAGGAGAGATTTGTTGACAAGATGTTTACTCTCTTCCTCATTGCGAGTGAGCTAGCCTTGAATAGGCCTTTTTCACGAAAATCGGTAGACATCTTGAAGTGATGACAAACATTGCAAATCAGCGGTGCGTAACCAACAAAAATAAGATAAGCTTTTAGGCTGATTTTCTGACATAATGTTATTTAAAAAATGTTATTAAAAAAACAGAAAAGCCTATCTGAGTAGTGTATTAAAATAGGCTCATGCATTACAGTGCAGTAGCATAGCACTTTCGTGCTCTTACTGTTCCTGGTACCGATAATATACAGATTTCTCTATTAAATATTATAAAGTACAAATTATGTTTTATAAAGAAGTATAGTATAGTAAATCATGTTTTTAACACAGGAAACTCTCATATGGTAACTAAAACAATGCTAGTCCATTTATTACTAGTACTACTGCACTGTAATGCATATACCTATTTTAATACAATACAAATAGTAGGCTTTTCTTTTTCCATCTTGATTTCAGAGGTCAAAAACATTTTGTAATTTTTTTCAATCACATAGTGGTGTAGACTAGTCTTTTAAGAACATTTTGCTGGAAATTTTTTTTGGATACGACATCCTGTTATGGAGTCATGTTTTAAATAACATGATGTCAGAAAATCAGCCCAAAAGCTTATCTTATTTCTGTTGGTTACGCACCGCTGATTCGCAATGTTTGTCATTACTTCAAGGTGTCTACCGATTCGTGGAAAAGGCCTATTGATAGAGAACCAATGGATTATTCAGTAGAGCACACGTTATTGCCACATTTTATACAATTAGTAGAATTGAATATAGACATATCGGTTGTCCTAAAACTAAATTGCCTCGTATCTAGGCCTACTGCCAGACGTCTAGCCTTAGGCTAAGACCTAGGCCTACTTCAGACAGATAGGCCCGATCGCCTCTAAATAAGCGGGATAGCCGACTAGGCTTCGATCTGGCTTGGTCATACAATCAATTATGAGGCCCAGTCTTCTACGCATCATCTATTTTTGTTTACTTTGATACATCATCTCTTGAGAGAATATTTTATATTCTATTCGATAAAAGTTAGTCTAGGCCCTAGGCCTAACCTGTTTAATAAATAGTTATTCATAGGCTAGGCTAGACTAGGTCCTAGTGTACACTACATATGATTAGGCCTAGCCCTAAATCAATTAAATTTTAATATCTTAGTGTCTGGATAGATAAAGATAATACTGCTCAGTTATATACAAATACTGTACATTATTATGATGGTTGATGTATCTGCAATATATCTATTCAAGTTGTTTGATGTCATTTTCCCTTTTCTCTTGTGATTTTTAGGATGACTACTGACTAGGCCTATATAAAGAATTTTGGTCTGGCTTCTGATGCACTATAAGCTGGTATTCAACTTCATGTCAGCCCAACACAAAACAGTCTGTTGTAGCTATGGTGAAAATTGCATTTTACAACTTCAGGTAGGTCTGACACAAGACTGTCAAATCATTGAAAATTAACATAAACAAGACCTTAACTGACAGAATTATTTTAATATATATTTATTTATTTGACATGTCTATAAACATAATAATAAGACTTCAATAGGAATTCTCTGTATATAAACACCAAAAGGTAAATAAAAGCAACTTTCATTATTTCTTAAAAAGAAAACATATACATGTACAGTAATCCCAAAAAATTGTGCTTATAGACTGATCTGTGCATAAATTATTATTTATACATATCAAATGTATAGAAATGGAAATCATATTTGCAGTGCACCAAATTACAGATAATTATAATATAGAAATCCTACATGATAATACTGTAATAATAAATGTATTAGACAATTTTCAGTAGGAAATATTTGGCACCAATTAAAGGAAGTTGGTATTCAGACTAAGAATGTGAATTAAAATGTATAGTATCAAAAATATAAGCCATGAAATAATTCCTATCCTAAACTTTGAAAATGATACACAAATACTCTGTTCTCTCAATTCATGAATTTGAGCTGTTCGTTCAATTTGGTGCAGTACTACTGTAGAGTTGACAAGCCTACTGTCAGAGTGTTTTTGCAGACCAAAGAGATGAACAAAGTCCACTGGCATACAGTCTACTGACAAAATATTCTGTGCAGGAATGTTTCTATGTTCAACAAACATCCCATTGACTTCTGGATATACAGCAGTTGTATTCAGTTGCTTCCTTTATGAGTCACTGCCCAAAGGTTATTCAAATAGTATGTGATGACCATCTACAAACAAAAAGCAAATAAATGATGTAATAAATATATTGTCAAATCATGAATGTATACTGGAACAGATGGTTTTTATTAATTCAGTTCAAATCTATATTTAGTGTCCGGAAAAAGACCAATGTTAGAAAATTATACAAGATTTAAATATTTTGTATGGATTGACCTTTTGCTAATAAATGGTCAGAAGGTATTTTATTTGGTCATTGTTTTTTACTGTATCGATATATTATCTTTGTAAATAAAATTATTTAATGTTTAATTTAAACTTCCATCATTCACTAGCAACAAAATACTTTTCCACTTGCAGAATTAGGACGTAAATGTTACATTTACACTCTAAAAGTACAGTACAGTATGATCATAGACAGGCTAATAATAATAATGTTTATGCTTGATTACATAACTTGAATCTAGATTCAAATTGAGCAGGTCAAATTAAAAGAACTGTTTTAAGATTACTTTTTCTTGGGGAGAATAATTCCTGCACAAATATTAAGTCAAAAAAAATTTTGGCCGAGCGTTGAACCCCGATCGAGCGAAGAACATCTAGAAAGACCATGTGATCCACCCTACGAAGTATGTTAGGAAGCAAGACATAAACAACCTCGCCTGTCATAATGGCATGTAATATGCGTGTATTTCTTGTAAGATATTTAATCATCACGAATAAAGTAAGTCAACCAAATGGTTTTAATGTTTTTAACACATTTTCCCACGTTGTCATTAACAAAAACAATATTAAAAGTTGATTTGAGAGAAAGGCCATACTGTATGTATGAGCCACTCCACAACGTACGGTATGAGGTGGATCAGAGTGTGGATGCAGAGAGCATTCGCATCCTCACTCGTACCAGATGTGAGTAAACTAAAAATAATGCAAATGGCCCAATTCCGGCGCATGATCTTTTTTTGAAAAGATAGCAATGGTTCAATAATCTATTTAATGATTGAAATAAATATACGTATACTGTATCAAGTTAAAGGTTCAATAAAAACAATTTTTTTTTTTCAAACCTCCTTGGTTCAAACTCCATGGACATGGTTCAAAATACATTCACGTGAACAAATTCGGGATTCCCCATGTGCGTTGATTTGCCGTCGATTCGATCGTGCGTTGTTCAGTAACAACTTTTAAACAAGTAGAAATTTCTTTGTTTTTACAAATATATATTTACTTAATGTATCTTAACATGACTAAACAATTAAAAGCTTGGAGAAGATATGATTTTCGTTCTCCGTTAATTTATGCTACATTCTAAGCTTATCTTGTCGACAAAAGGGCCTCTGTAAATTAGTGCCGTCGTTAGCTTCGGGCACCTCGGCAAATTAAAGAATGCCGACGCTAATTTTGAGGGCTGTAGCAATGTAGATTATTATTACAAATACAATATTTATATAGTAAGAACGTGTATTCAATTATAGAAAAGTTAGCCCTGACGAAGGACAGTGTTCTGTCCCAAAAAGCTAGGCATTTATCTCACTGGCTGTTTTACTTTTACGTTTAAATTTTTCTATCTCATTGTTTTCTTCAGTATTTATGAACAGAAGTTGTTATAATTTATTTATTTTTTGTATATTTGCAAAGGTAATTAAAAATACCTGAATGAAGAAAAGGCATAGTATTAGCTGTTATGTAGATGAAAGTAAGAAAACTAGTTAGTCGATAGAATCAGATTGCTGAACTGCAATTGAATGTAAATAGTTTAAAAAGAAACACTGTGAAAGAAAATACATAATTACAGTACAAACAGTGTATGATGTGCTATCTATTTATTTATTTATTGTTATTGAAAATTAAATTAACCACAAAAGTGTTTGACTGTTGGATTTTTACTTTAAAATAATGTTCAATACATTCTATAAAAACCAAACATTGCAACACAATTCAAAACTTAAAATTCACCACTTTTAAATTGCATCTTACAGTAATTATTTTTCATTTTTTTCTTAGTAAGTAGGGGGCATCCCATCCCAAACCCACTCCTACTCAGGCAACAATATTCAAAAGTTAAAATTTAACAATGTTAAACGCCAATTCAAACACTGTTAAATGGCATCTTACAGTAATATTTTTTCATTTTTTTCTTAGGTAGGGAGGGGAACACCCCCCTCCCAAACCCACCCCTGCTCAGGCCAAAGGGCCCTCGGATGTCGCTCCGCGACATGTTCCTCCGCCTATTAATAAAACTCCACCTGTTATTTCGTTTCAAAATAACACCCCTGTAGACCCTACCTAAACAAAAAAATAGTAATTAATAAATTTCTCTAGATACAGTAGGCCTAAGTTTTAATAAGACTGACTTAATAATATCCATAATAAATAAGACAGATATAGGGTAGGCCTAAGTGTACCTACAGTCAGAGTAAGCTGACACTCTAGGGCCTAGCTAGTTCAGGAAATATTCTCCTCAATATTTATTATATAAGACAGTATAGGGTAGGCTGACAATCGTTACTGACTGGCCTAAACCCAGGCCTAAATGAATGGAGAGGGTCGTGTCCTGATGCAGTCTAGGCTGATCCCTGGGCTAACACAACGTAACAACAGCATAGATGGCCTTCTCTTTATAGGGTCTAGGCTAGGGCCAAGTCCGGTCGTATTTTGTAAACTCACCTATCAAGCAAAAATGTCTGAAATCCTATTTCAAAAATATCACTACTATCAGTATTTTCTTCTAGTTCCGTCTTTATGCATCTTTCTTCTTTCTACAGTAACTAGCTAGCTAGGCCCTCACACAGGGGCCTGATACTCGCTCGCGATTGTTTACACAAACAAGCTTGTCGATGTCAAGGGTCATATGCTAAGTATCGTTTTCGCATATTTATTAGCTAAAACCGAAAACACTAGGCAATAACCAGTGCCTTCCATTTTCTGTTCCGCAAAACGTGGCGTAACTATAGTAAATTATTTTTTCGATAACATTTTTAATTCAAAGTGAATAACTATTGTGATGATTCAAAATGGCCAATTTAATTTCAGAATTTATTTTTTTAATTTTTTTTCGATTTTGACTATTAGGACAATACAACTTTAAGAAGTTACTTACAAAGTCTTATTTATTTCTGGATTGCTTGTGGCATGCCTCATTTGGCCTACTTGGAAACTCATCTTGGTTATGTTACTAATCGGAACCTGAGGTGTATAGCGACCAGGATAATCTAAAACCAACCAAATGAAATGCAAATACATAAATGGAAGGACATACTACATTATATCACTGTATCATGATTTAAAAGGACCAATTTCAACAATTTCAGAACTATTACTATTCAAATAAACCACATTCTACATTAATAATTTATTCATGTTTTTGACACATGCAAAAAAGATTTTGTGTTTATTATATAGAGATTGGGAAGATTATATTACATTGAATAGAGTAATAAATGATAATGTCAATTTATAAATTGTATCACACCAAGGTATCTTTTTACTTTGTTATCATTTCCCCAGTTATAGGATGGTACCCACTTATAATCCTGGGGAAGGGGGACAGAACACAAACAATAACTTCTGCCTTTTCCAACATTAAGTAGCAATTAGGATCTGTAATTTACCTTCTTGTTGTTGCAAGTATAAAGGTCGAACCCAGTCTGGTGTTTCCACTTCTGTCAGGTAGAACAACTCAGCCAGAATGGCCAAGATATTAGTCTTTAACTTTGGGTGCGAGTACAGAAGGTCCTCGTAACAAAAATGGAATGATCCAGGAACATAGTGATCAAGGAAAGCCTTCACCAGTTGTAGGTTGTGCATGGACTCTGCCAGAGACATTGTCTTGTTCAATGAAATATCTAAGGTGAAAAGAATGCAATTGTAAACATCTCAAAATTTATTACAATTTAGGTGTAGAAGCTATCTGAATGAAATTGCAGTGACGGATTCAAGGGGCCCTGTTGACCCCCCCTTAAATATTTTTCAAAATAAAAAAAAATGGAGGAAAAAAGAAATTTATCTGAGTGCCATTTCAAGCCATGTAGAGGTGCCATAATCACAAATGTGGCACAGACAAGCCAAACCGGTCACACGTCGCAAATCATGTTTAAGAGATAATGGCCAAAACATGATGGAATGTAAACATTTTTGAAATCTATTTTATTGGACTAAACTAACATTTATATATTTATACATCATGATATGCTGTTATTTTCCCCATTTTCAATGTAAAAAACAACCATTTTTAACAATTTGGTGGTTTCTGATCGAGAAATGCCCAAAATCATGAACTTTGAAGGCTGATTTCTCAAATATTGTTCTTTAAACAGCTGTATGTTTAAATGCTTGTAACATCATATGGAAATGTCAGATTGAAATGGTTTTTTTCTTATCATTTTATAGCTCTCATTTTCATCCTCAACCCTTTATAAATTCTAGACCTGTGCCAGGGCTGTAGTTTATATTGTTAGTTTAAAGCCATGTAAAATTTAAAAAATGGTTAGCATCCTTATGTTATAAATTTTCATGGTAAGGAGTGAGTTATTGCTTTTTTTTTTTCTCAAACTGAACATGAAAAAAGAGTGTTGCAAACCAAAGAAGAAAACAACAGAAACCAAAATTGCATACAAAAGAAATCATTTAATTCATCTATAGCAAGCAGAAACTTTACTTATGTTTAACAGCCATAGATAATAATAATAATAATAATAATATCTCAAATTTATATGGCGCCAATTCCAAACAAGATCAAAGGCGCAACGCATGTTAAAAGCCACCGGAAAACAAATAGGTCTTGCTGTGACTTAAAGTTGCAAATAGAGTTGGAAGAAGTTATGTAATTTGGAAGTTGGTTCCAGAAATAGGCAGAAGCAAAAGTAAAAGAACATCGACCGTAGGTACAAACCTACTCCTGAGTACGGGACTGACAATACCGTACTCGCGCGAATAAGCGCCCCGTTTGAATAAGCGACCTTCTCGAATAACCGCCCCTCCTAAAGTGAAAATTTCCTTAAGCGCCCCGTTTGAATAAGCGCCCCCTTCTAATTTGAATATTATCATAAGATTTTTTTTTTAGCAAGTTAATAATCCAATCAATCCTGGGACTGTGGTTGTTGGCATGGTTTGAGCTGCAGAGTAGAAACACATTCTTCTTAGGTCAATATCAAAATGAGGATATTTCTCTTGGACAGATCCCAACTTTACTCTATTTAAATATTTGTCTATGCCTAGTCCTACTGCTCTTTTTCTTTTTTCCGACCTTTAGCACATTCTCATCTGAGTTTTCAAGAAAAAATACAATGATCCTGCCATCCTGCTAATCTCAATCGGCCGATGGCCAACAAGCTAACCATAACCACCACCACTAATTGCATCTGCTATTTTGCTGTTATGTATAAATATTCACAGCATTCTTGTTATGAGCCATGTTCTCTGGACGATTATCTTTTCCGCCTAACCATCATTCATAAGGTCCTTAAATAATCTTTTTTTCATTCAAAAAGTGCCTCTTGAATTTAATAATTTCCCATAAGAACCCCTCGATTTTCATCTATTTCCATAAGCGCCCAATCAATTTCCACTCTGTTTTCATAAGCGCCCCGTTCGAATAAGCGCCCCGTTCGAATAAGCGCCCCTCAAAGCGCCCGGGCGCTTATTCGCGCGAGTACGGTATCTTACACTGAGTATTGCACCGGCTAATGTCAAATACATCTTAATATACTATTATCATATTTTCAAGTACAAGTCGATATTTTGGAAGAAAATTTTAATCGCTAAATTGGAGGGGGAGGTCAACTTATACTCCAAGTAAAAGTTTATGTAAAAAAAATTAGCCCAAAAACAACGGCAACAATCGGAGCTTGGATGGACCAGTGAGCTACATACTACCCAGTACTAAGGGGCCTAGGCTTATGCTTAGCTAAATTTACCACAACAGATTAGTCCAGCAAACTTTGGTTGGTTGCATTTTTTTTTGCTATATTTAAAAAAAATTGGATATGATGTAGAGTAGACATAGATAAATCAAAAAAGTATGTGCAACATTTTTTTTTTCATATGTAAGGGGGGTTGCCAGCCGTTTCAAAATGGCCGCCATTTTTTCCTAAAATTGTCACTAATATCATATTGTAAATTTATGTCATTAAAATGCAGTATTCAATTGGAAATCCACTCATAACAATGACAGCAACAGTTAACTAAATATTGTACACATTTTTGAGCTATTACAATTTAAAATGGCTGCCGTTTTCCATTATTTTAGCATACATACTGTATTAATATAATAATAACCGACCTTACAAAAACTGTGATAGAGCTAGTTATTATATGCAATTGCCATTAAAAATCTACAGAAATCCTGTCTCTTATACACATCTCACACATATATATATATATATATTTGTGGGTACCACCTAAAGGTAGAAACCCATACATCGATAGCTTTGCTAACGCCGCTAAGTCCCACCTCAACTCATTCATTCAGAAGTACCTCACTAATCCACAACCAGGTGATAACCTGTCTAAGAATCAACGCACAGCGATAAAGAATCTCCACCGCAACCAGGATATTATCATCAAACCAGCAGACAAAGGCGGGAACATCACTATCATGGATAGAACTGAATACATCACCGAAATTGAAACACAACTATCGAACCAATCTTTCTACAGGTGCCTCTCATCGGATCCTACCCATACCTACAAAAAGGACTGTACTAATATGGTGTCGAAACTAACTAATACTAACATTAAATCTAAGGTAAGGGCTCTCATCCCTGATGAACCCAAACCAGGTGTCATAAACATCTTGCCTAAATTGCATAAACTTCCTAAATTAGTTGGAGAAGCTTTAGTGCACAACAACCAGTCCCAATCCTGTAACGCGGACATGCTCTCTGATCCTACATATATCTACTATCTTGCTAGATCACTCAACATCACACCGCCAGGTAGGCCCATCATATCAGGCAACAGCACACTCACAGAGAACATATCCGGCTATGTCGACTCTATTCTGAACCCCTTGCTAGTTTGTATCCCCAGCTTCATACAAGACACAACACATTTTCAAGACTCAACGACATCCCTCCTCTACCCAACCATGCATTGTTAGTCACTTTTAGATGTATGCTCATGGTATACCAATATCCCACACGATGAAGGCATTGCGGCGTGTGAAAAATTCATTTCCACCCATGATCCGGCCCAATCATCCCCAGACATATCCAAACTTATCAAATTTATCCTCACCCACAATAACTTTGCTTTCCATGACAAACACTACCAACAAATAAGTGGCACAGCCATGGGCACCAAGATGGCTCCATGCTACGCAAACATTTTCATGGCTGAGCTGGAGGATAGACTCTTAGCGAATTCCAATCCTAAGCCATCATATTACTGTCGATATATAGACGACATATTTTTTATTTGGGAACATGGGATTGATAAACTCAACAAATTTGAACGCTTCGCCAACAACTTCCATCCCCGTATCAAGTTTACTATCAACTCTTCGAGTAGTAACATCTCCTTCCTGGACGTATCTGTCCACTTAAAAAATGGGATTATATCTACATCTGTTCATCATAAACCCAGAGATAACCATCGCTATTTGGATTTCAATAGCTCTCATCACATCTCGCTCAAGAAGTCTCTTATATACAGTCAATGTCTCCGCATTAAACGCATCTGCTCTACCCCCTCTGTATACCAGTCAGAACTTGCCCGACTCACTTCTAAATTCCTAGCCAGCAACTACCCTATATCTCTCATCAAGTCTGCCATTTCTAAAACATCCACTAAGTCTCGTACAGACCTTCTGACGTATACCCCTAAATCTAATAATGATAGAATACCTATGATATTCGACTACAGTCCCAACCTAGAACCATTAGCTAATACACTCAGGAAAGACTTCCTCTCCCTCAAGCAAGACCCCACCATCGAACCCTTATTCTACAACCCCCTTGTCCTTGCCCGCCGGCAACCCCCCAATCTGAAATCTCTCATCACCTCCTCTAAGCTCCCACAACGACTCGTGATCATGGTAACACTACATGTCAAAAAGCTAGATGTCAACTGTGCAAATTCATCAACACAGATCACACATTCTCACCCCCTGGCACTACATACAGCATTCACCCTCCCGCTGCTGATTTTAATTAAATAATTAAATTAAATGAATTAAATATAATATTTGTAATATTTGTTGCCATGGTAATTATGTAGGGGAAACCGGCACCAAATTCAGACTTAGGATCAACAATCACAAAAAGTCAATCAGAGACAAAAGCCCAGGCTTCCCAGTTAGCGCTCATTTTAACCTTCCCGGTCACTCCATTGAGAACTTTAACTGTATTATTCTAGGCTCTAACTATAGATCGTCCAATGACAGACGTTGTGCCGAAATAAAATGGATAATCAGGCTTAAATCCCAAACCAACGGCCTTAACAAAGACCTTGGCTTTGCCACCGATTACACATTTACTAACATCCAAAAGGCCTTTTTTATCATGTATATGCATATGATTGAACTTCTCGTATATTTCGCTTTTTTCATTTCTCATATTTTTACTCGTGCGTTATATATATATATATATATATATATATATATAATTACATAATAGCCCATACTAAAAAGTCTTAGTAGATATAGCTCTATAACTATTAGCCTTATAATCTATCATCCTTAGTAGATATAGCACTATTACCTATTTAACACCTACTAATAAGTAGATTTTTGGCATATTTTTTATATTTAAATCTTTTATTTAACTATCAATAATCTACAATTTAACTAGAACTTCCTCAATCGATCTTGTACTAGTAAATCTATCATTTAAATATCACTAAACTA